ACGCGCACACACACACACACAAACGCACGCACGCACACACACGCACACTTGCACCCACACACACACACTCGCACGCACGCACACACACACGCACACACAAAAGCACGCACACACACACACACACACACACTCGCACCCACACACACACTCGCACCCACACACAAACAGAGCCACACCTTCTCGGGCGTGTGAAGCACGGTGGCGAGGTTGCGGCTTGCACAGTGTACGTGGCACTTCAACGTCACACCAATGGCATCCTCTTTGCCGCACGCTGACACGGCTGGTCGTTGCAGCAGCTGTCATCACACATCAGGGATGGGAAGAGTGCATTCGTGCGCGTGTGCGTGTGTTTGAGTATGTGTGAGGGGTGGGTGTGTGTGAATATGGTGAGTCGGTGGGTGGGTAAGTGAGTGAGAGGCACACGCAACAGCTGCAAGACACACACACACACACACACACGCACACGCATGCACGCACTGACCTCGGAAATGACGGGATCGTGGGCGCGCTTTCGAAAATACGAGCACTGGCAACACAATTGCAACGTTGGATTAAGTTACGCCCGAAACGATCGTCAACGCTGTACACTCGCACACACACACACACACACACACACACACACACACACTCACACACACACACACACACACACACACACTCACACCACGCCACAGACAAAGAGGGTCATGGCATCCACCGCCGATCTTGGCATCTGCCTCAAGAAGGCGTAGAGGTCCAGCTTCCCCTCGTAATAAGCGACGCTCGCCCGAACACATTGAGCAAAGCAAGCTTTGTTGTCGCTCGAGCCATCAAAGCCAGCACCAGCAGCAGCACCAGCGTCACGTCGCCCACCCTTAACCTCGCGTGTGTCACCACCACCATCACACTCCCTCAAGATGCTCCGAAACACCATCAGCGACGCCTCGCACGCGCTCACATCACAATCTGCTCCGCCGAGGTCATCAAACCCGTGCATGAGCAGCGCCTCCGTGTACTCGTGCCACGGGGTGCAGCCATCGTCATCCACACAGTCAAAGCCTCGCGCCACGTGCTGTCTCCGTGAGGAGGGTCTGGATGGTGGTGGCGTGGTGCCCAAGCCGAACGTGTCGTGGCCGTGCTGCTCTTCTTCTTCTTCTTCGTCTCCTTCACGGTCGTGCAGGTCCATCAGCTCTGCTGGCACGGGACCACCCATGCCATTGGGGAGGAAGGCAAACAGCGGCGTGCTGTCCTTGGCAAGGTGCCCGCGCGCAAGCACGGCGTGCATGATGCTGGCGGTGACGAGCCGGCACGCCACGTACGCAGCCCCGCGGCGAAGGTTGCGCACTGCGCTTTCCTCCAGCCGCTGCTGCTCCTCGCGACTCCTGCACTGCGCAAAGCGAGGAAAGATGAGGAAGGGCTTCGTCTCGAGGTGCTGGAAGAAGGTGAGCTGGTGCAGCATGGCCCCCATCCACTCCGTCAGCGTGAACGTCATGCGGGAGCGAAGTTGTGCATGCTGCTCCGGCAACAGCCGCCAGGTGTTGGCCAGGAACACGCGGGTGTCGCGGGCAGCCATGTTGCTCACGTCCCTTGCCGCCACGTTGCAGGCGCACTCGACGATGTACCTCGTGCTCTCGTGGATGTCACGCGACGTCCACAGCACGTCCAGCTGGAGGTCGGTGCTCATCGCCTCCGCACACCGCTCATACAAGGTGGTGATGCTGCTGCGGCCGCCAAAGTGAACCGTCGCCTTGATGCACGCGCACACGTGCAGCAGCTGCACGTCGTCCAGCCAGGGCGCGAGCATGTCCATCGCCACCACGCAGCTCAGAAACTCGTTCATCCCTCGCGTCCCAATATCAAAGGGAAGCACCTCGCCGGGCACAAACCCAAACACGCGGTAGCACAGCTGCTGTCCGAGCATGCGACGCGCGGCCACCGAACTCTCGCTCAGCACGCACGCCTCCTGCTCCGCCTCCGCATCCTCAACTTCACCACCGTGCCCCCCGCTCTTGCGTGCGCAGGGCTTCCTCGTCATCCACCACGTGTCAATGGCGGCCAGCCGCCTGCTGATCAGATCTTGCTCCGCAGCCGACACGGGAACAAGTGTGCGACGGCACTTGTGCCGAGGGATGGCGTTGTTGCCATTGTCGATGCTCGTACCGTTGCTCCTCCTGCCGTCAATCTTGTACTTGCTGCTGCTGTTGCTGTAGCTGCTGCTGCTGTTCTCACTGCTGCTGCTGCTGCTGCTGTTGCTGTTGCTGCTGTATTTGCTGTTGCTGCTGCATCTGCTGTCCTGTGTCTTTGCCGTGTCCTCGCCCGAGCAAACCTGTTCTAGGCCCAACTCACAGTCACGGTTGGCGTTGCACTTTGCCGTCTTGGCCCGCTTGTCGTCGTCGTCGTTGTTGCTCACGGCCGTCACAAACCCCCAGGAGTCCGCCAGGTCCTTGCCAGCCATCAGCACAATGTGGCTTGGATGGCTGAGCTCGCCCGACCGATGGGTCAGCGCCTTGCTCGTCGATCCAACGAGGCATGGCGAGTCTTCGATGTACTGCACGAGCTCGTCATCTGTCAGGAGTGTGCCTTGATGGTTGCTTGATGTGGATGCTGCGCTGCTGCTGGCGTCATCGGGCGTAGTGAGGCCCTCGGCATTCAGCTCCTTCTTGTCGGACGGCCTTCGTCCCGTTGATGCACTGTGGGTGACGCTGTCGAGGGGCAGGGAAAAGAGACGCGAGCGGCGCAAGATGGGCAGGAGAAAGGGCGCGATGCACTCGTCCAGCTGCAAGTACACAATGTCCTGAAACAGGGCCGCCAGGAACGTCACGACGTCCCGCTCCTCGTCAAGACGCGCCGTGTCGTAGACATGCTGCGTGGAGTGGTACGTGCGGTTGGGCCCGCTCGTGGCGGCGAGCAGCAACTGTGCCATCTTCACAATCTCGTGCGTGGGCACGGGCGCTCCCAAGGTGCGAAAGGCTTGGCGAAGGTCTGAGGTGATGGCGTCGAGGTCGCCTGCCAGGTGAACCACGTACTCGTTTGTGGTGATGTTGTGGTGATAGCTGGTGGCCGCCTTCCTGTCTGGGGTGTGTGTTGTCATCGTGGGTATGTGTGGGCGATAAGAACGTGTCTGTGGTTCTTGTCGAGTGAGAGTAAATGGATGAGGTGTTGAGGTTACTGCGAAACGAGCGTGCTCGCGTTTTTACACTTCCATCATCGTCGTCGTTGTCGTCGCCCACACATGATGGCTATGATGGCTTGGTGTGGAAGGCGGTTCCCTCCCTGAGACTGGCGTGGGGAGGGACGTTTGTGCATCTGTGGACGAACAATTCCTGGAAGCTTGCGAAAAGCACGTCTTCCAAGAATCACTCTTGCGCGTTCTTGCAACATGACGTCACGCATGACGCCACGGAGTGTCAAAGTAAATGTGTGCATGCGTAAGTGTTTACGTGACCATCCGTCAAATCCTGCGACGCGCGACTCACGCGTGAAAAGTCATGGGGCCCGAACGGCAATACTGCTGCTCTGTCAAAACGAGACGTGTGCTTTTGCGTATGCCTTTGTTACCGATGGTTTGCGAAGGTAACAACAAGCAGAAGACTCGGGGAAGTTGCAGAAAGGTGATAGCAACGACATCGCACTCCTACCAAGCAAACAAGTGCATGCATAATTGTGTGTGTGTGTGTGTGTGCGCGCGTGTGTGTGTGTGTGCGTTTGGTTGCTGATGGACCACACCTCCATTTCACGATTGCACAAGGTTGCGAAGGTATTGCAGTGCAACAAAGCAGAAGCCTTGGGGAAGTTAACCAGAGAGTTGCAGAAAGGGGATAGCAACAACACACGCACATTGAGACTGCTCAACTCCCACGACACGAAAACACACACACACACACACTCACGCACACACACACACACACACACGATATAGCTGTTATGTGGTTGGTGTCTTGAGGCTAAAGCCGCCACCAGTGAAGCGTGGTCTGTTTGCAATGTGCTCGGGTGGTGGCACGGGCCGCATTGCTTGCTCCTTATCCCGTCGCAACATGTCCTTCTTCTTCTGCTCAAAGTACCTGAGAAAGGAAGGTGACGCAAGCAGTGAATCAAAGCAGAGCAAGGCTTTGAGTGGCGGGAAGCTGAGGGTAGTAGCTGTGGATGCAGCACGGCGTGCTCACCAGACACATCCACAATAACGGGACACATCACCAGCACACCACCCAGGTGCAACGCGAGGCTTTCCAAAAGACATAGCGTCCACAACAAAGCAACAACCCCGCCTCACCCCAGCCCACACCCAGCCTACACGACACGACGCGACACGGCACAGCAATGCAACTGACTTCTTCTTGAGGTCATGGAGCTCCTTCACCACGCGGTCGAGCTCAAACTTGTGCTCGTCGACCTGTGCGCGGTACATGTTGACCTCCGACGCCATGGACTTGAGTTGTCGCGTTTTCTCCTTGACCGCCTGCTGGTACACCTGCAGCTGCTCAGCCACCTCGGGGCCGGGCTGCCTCGCAAGGATCGTCTGGTAGTGGTGGTGTTGGTGCAGAAGCGTGAGACTGGTGTAAACTTGTGTGTGTGTGTGTGTGCGTGTGTGTATGTGTGAACTTGTGTGTGTGTGTGTATGTGTGAACTTGTGTGTGTGTGTATGTGTGAACTTGTGTGTGTGTTGCAGGTTGGGGTGAATTGCACAAGCAACAGCCGAAGAAAACCACAAAACGTTTGCACACCCACACATGCACACGCACACGCGTGCGGACCTTGAGTTCGACGTACTGCCTCTCCTTCTCCTGAATCTTGAGCTCCTTCTCCACGACTTCGCTCGTCTTCTGGATCAGCCGTTTCTGCAGTGTCTGGATCTTTTGTATCATCTCAAACGTCTTCGGATCGCTGGTGGGTCGAACAAAACAATCATATTGCGTCATATTGCGTGGTGTGGTGGGTGAGACAGCTGCTGACGAGAATATTGACACGGCGAGCAAGGAGCCAGATTACAAACACAATATCACACACACACACACATACACATGCACACGCATACACACACATGCACACGCATACACACGCATACACACATGCACATGCATACACACGCATGCACACATACACACACACGGTTTGACGGACCTGCCCTCGAGCTTGCGCCATCTGTGGACGTTCATTGGCGTCTGCACCTCCTCCTCCAGCGCTTTGCATCGCGTCTTCTCCTTGAGCAGTTCCCGCTGCACCTTGAACAGCTCCCGTCGGAGCTCCTCGATGTTCGACACATTCTGGTGGCGGTGTTGGTGGCGGTGGTAGTGGGAAGGAGAAGTGGTGAAGTGGTGAGCACAGAGTGACGGCTTGAGCCAACTGGAGCACATGCACACACGCACGCATACACACACACTCCACACACACACACACACGCACACGCACGAATACACACACTCCACACACACACACACACACACACACACACACACACACACACACACACACACACACCTCACAACACAGACAGCTGCGCACCTTTGAGAGAAGGGATCGTTCGCGCTTGAGGCGTTTGATCTCGACCTTGAGCAGTCGGATGTCCTCCTCGCGCTGGCGGTACTGCACTTCTCCTTTCTCCAGTGTTGACGCCTGAATCTGCAGCTTTTGGTACAGCAGCTCAAGCTCGGCGTTGCGCCGGGTGAGTTGGATGGCAAAGCTGTCTCTCATCTTCATCACCCGCTGGTTCTCGTCCTGCAGCCGCTTGTACTCTGAAGGGACGCGACGCGACGGTGGTGGTGTGGCGGTGGAGGTGGGGTGAGTGAGTTGGTGTAAAACGATGGTGGGGTGTGAAGTGCGTCAGGCGGATGGCGGCGGCATGTTGAGGAGATGGAGGTTGACTTGTTTCCATTGCAGGGTGTAATGGCGGCGGCGTTGAGGTGAAGCAATCTCGCCCAGTCTTCCCTCTGTGAACTCACGCGCGCGCGCGTGTGTGTGTGCGTGCGCGCGCATGTGTGCAATCAACTCACGTTCCTCGGCGTCCTTGATGAGTTTCTCCAGCGCCTCTTTCTCACTTGTCTTCTCCGCAATGCTCTTCAAGTGCGTCGCATTCACAATCTGTGTGTGTGTGTGTGTGTGTGTGTGTTTGTGTGTGTGTGTGTGAGAGAGAGAGAGTGTGTGTGTGTGTGTGTGTGAGCCAGCACTCGCTCGATGTCGCACACACAGAGACACACCCGCCAAAAGTGATTACACCAGATTTCGTGTAAACGATTCGTGCCTGCAGGCATTGTTACCTTGAGCCGGTCCAGCTCCGCCTTGAGCTTGTTCTTTTGCGTGTCGAGCTGTAGGGCGGCGATGGTGGCGGTGATGGTGGTTCATGATGAGACATGGTGTGCAGTGGCGCTGGTGTGTTGGTGTTGCATCGAACAACCAACGCAGCATTCCTCCGCATGTGTGTGCATGTGTGCATGTGTGTGCATGTGTGCGTGTGTGTGTATATGTGTGCGTGTGCGTGTGCATGTGCGTGTGTATATGTGTGCGTGTGTGTGCGTACTCACCGTCTCGTACATGTGGTGCTCCTTTTGCAGATGCGCCTCCTTTGTCGAAATCTCCTCCTGTTAACGCGAATGAGACGCGTTCGTGTCGTGATGAGGGCGCAGCAATTGCATACATGTGTTGACACGCACAAGTTGCAGGCAGACACAAAAAAACGCGAAGAAGGATACACTCACACACCCACAAACACACAAAAGCACCCACCCACACACACACACCCACACCCCCCCCACACACACACAAAGACACACACCACACACACACCCACACACCCACCCACACACACACATACGAAAGCACACGCAAGCATCCGAGCAGGCACCTTGAGCTGGTCGATTTGGTGGTTCATAATCTTGAGTTTCCTCTTCATCTCCGCAATCTCATCCTGCGCCTCAATCAAATTCTTGCTGTACATGTTTCTGTCGCTCCGCACTTGCTCGTACAGGCTGACAAGCGGTGTTGTGATGATCACAATGGCGATGATGATGGTGGATGTGGTTCGGTGCGTCAAATATGTGAGCACACGCACGCAAGCGTTAGGGAGACACATCCAAAAGGGTGGAGGCACACAAATGCACACGCATGCACACATCGATACAGATGCACAACACACACACACACACACACGACACGCCAACACACACACACACACACACACACACACACACACACACACACACACACACACACACACACACACACACATGACACGCCACGGGCTGACCTCTGCTGCTGCTTGAGCTTTGCCTCTGCGTCTGCAAGCTTCTTCTTGAGGTCGAGGACCTGCGCATCAGCCAACTTGACTTCCTCCATCGCCTGCACAGCCCGCGCCTGCGTTGCGCTCGCATCGTTGATGTACTTGTCCCGCTCCTGAGAGAGAGAGGGGGGGGGAGGTGTAGCATGTGTGTATGTGTGTATGTGTGTATGTGTGAGTGAGTGAGTGAGTAAGTGAGTGAGTGAGTATATGTGTGTATGTGTGTGTGTGAGAGAGAGAGAGAGTGTGTGTGTGTGTGAGAGTGTGAGTGAGTGAGTGAGTGAGTGAGTGAATGAGTGTGTGTGTGTGCGTGTGCGTGCATGCACGTGTGTGTTTAAGCAGCAAGAGAGTGCAGGACATGGAGGAGCACTAGCCACACCTTTCACCGCCCACCCTACCTGCACTGCCAACACCTCTATCACCACACCACCACCATGCATCATGGACGTCGTTTACCTTTTCGAGCTGGAAGATGATCTTGCGCTGTTTTGCGGCCTCCTCCTTGAATCCCGCAATCTCGGCCTCAAGCGTCTTCTTCGTGTTCTCGTGCATCTGAACAGGTGGTGTGGTGTTGGTGATAGCGGCGGCGGCGGCGGCGGTGGTGAGCGCAAGCACGCATTGCAGCGTGACGCCACAAACACAAGCACAAACAGTCACCCATCAGTGCACAGGCACAGACACACACAGACGTACACGCGCGCACCCTCTTATACCCCATCCGACTCTCCCAGCATAACCGTCACGATCATCGTCACAACCACGACCATTATATTGTCATGATCACGACGGCTTGCTGACCTTGACGAGGACCTCCTGCGCTTCCGTCTCCTTGGACGATGTCAGCACCTTCTTCGTGAGCATGTCGCGGTTGCGCGCCATCTCGTCCAGTCGCTTGCGGTCGCTCTCGTTCTGCCGCTTCGACGCCTCCAACTCCCGCTCAAGCGCTCCAAGCTCGCCCTGCAGTGATGGTGGCGGTGAGGGTGGTGGTGGTGGTGGTGGCAAAGACATTGTGAAGAGAGTTGGGACAATGTTGTGGGAGTTCTTGCTGATGACAACTCCGCGAAGCATTCTTGCAGGAAACATCCACGCATGTACACACACACATGTACACACACACACACACACATTTACACACACATACACACGAATACGCAATCACGCCACACCTTGAGGAGGTCCCGGCTGCTGATGAGCTCCAGACGTTTGTCCTCGCTCGCCTTCAACTTGCGCGCAACAGCCTCGTTCGACTGCAGACACACGTGCGTGGTCGTGATGGCAGCTTGCGGTGAGACGTGGAGAGGGGCGTTGTGAAGCAGCCACACAACGTGCATGGAGAGACGAATATCACGCACTCATACGCAAGCAAACACAGTCAACACACACACACACACACACACACACACACACACACACACACACACACGCGCACACACGTACGCAAGCAGACACAGGTAATGCACACAAACAAATGCACCCATCACCACGCCACACAACACAGCCCCACCCCCTTAAGTCACGACAATGCATCACCTTCTGGAGTTTCTGGCAGTCGCCCTTGAGGGAGAGGAGCTCGTCTTCGCGCTGCTTGAGCTCCTGTTTCATCTTCATCATGTCTTCAAACGCATTCTGGTTCGCCATCATGCTCTCCTCAACCTGACGCACGCACGCAATTGGGTTGGGGTGTGTAGTTGATGTGCATGTGTGTGTGGTGGGGGGGGGTGTAGTTGATGTGCGTGTGTGCGCATGTGTGTGTGCATGTGTGATGTTAGTGAGTTAGGGTTCATGTGTGCGATTCAATGTAAAAACATGTTCACATCTGATTAGCAAACACCACAACAGCAACAACACCTGCTGCCACCACCACCACCACCACCACTGCCGCCGCCGCCTCCACCGACCACACCTGTTTCTCGAGTCTGCTGTTCTTCTGCGCGAGCTCCATCATCTCCTGCTGCACCAGCGACAACTCTGCTTCTTTCTCGTCCAGTTGGCCCGTCAGCTCTTGCACCATCTGCGAAGGGTGTTGAGGAAGTGGTTGGTGTGAGCACGGAACAAGGGTGTTGTGTGTGTGTGTGAGATGAATGGCATGTGTAATGTAATGTGTGTGAGTTGTATGGCATGTGTGCGTGATGTGAGGTGTGCGTGGTGGTCGTGATGGTGTTGTGCATTGCAGTTGGCGTGAGAAAGGAGCAAAAGTGTTGGGCCACGTGTTTGTGGCACAGCACTGGATTTTGGCAACGGCTGTGCGACACAACACGGGGGTTGATGGCAGCGAAACAATCACAACACAAAACGCGTGCGTGCAATCCACAGTGCATAACACGGCACGCTGGTGTTGCATGGCCTCTCACCATCTGTGTTTCCTTCAGCTGCTCGCCAGCCTCTGTTGCGTCGCTCTGCTTCTCCTCCAGCTCTTGGCGCCGCGTCTGCACACAAACGAAGACGGTTTTGGTTAAGCGAGGTGGTGGCGGTAGTGGTGGTGAGACGTGTACACAACAACGGTCGGCACACACGCGAGTACGGGCAAGTACACGCAAGTACACAAGACAGCGCACAACCCCCCCCCCCAACACACACACAACCACACACACAACTGCGTCTCTACGCCAGCAACCGCACCGCGAGTTCGCGTTCGAGGTGCGCCTTCTTGCGGGCCTCTCGGTCAGACTCGGACTGCTTCTGTGTCAACATCTCCTCCAGCTCGTCAACACGCGCCGTCGCCTCCGCGCGGCCTTGCTCCAACTTGTTCTGCTCCTCTCGCAGGTCCGTGATCTGCTGGTTCAACTTGCTCGCCTGGTGTTCGTATTGGGGGGAGGGAGCGCATGTTGGTGGTGGTGGTGATCATGATGATGGTGGTGGTGGTGGTGGTGGCGGTGAGTGAGTGAAGCTACGGTGCAATTGTGGCACCTCACCAACGTGGAGGAACGCAGACAGGACGGCAGGATGACGGACACACAGGCAGACGAGTACGCACAGGCAGACACACACACGGACAGACACACAGACACACACACACACACACACACACGGACAGACACACAGACACACGCAGACGCACAGACACAGACACATACACACACGCAGACACGCACACCACAGTGCACGCCTCTCCCTCCACACCTGTTCGAGCAAGTTTTCGCGTTCAATCTCGAGCTCTTTCTTGCGTGCGCCGAGAGCAGTGAGCTCCTCCCCCTTCTGGTGCGCCTGCGACGTCTGCTCCTCAATCTCCTCATTCAACTTCACCATCTCATCCTGGACAGCGCACGTGTGCGTGTAAAAGCGTGTGAGAGTGAGTGTGAGCGAGAGAGTGAGTGTGCATGTATGCGCGCGCGTGAGTGAGTGTGTATGTGTGAGTGTGAGCGAGAGTGCCTGGAAGCGTTAAACTACGCCGCTAGACTACATATGTGTGCTCCCTGCGCCTCCGTGTGTTGTTCATCGTGGACGAGACACGCCACCAACCTCACAGACAACTTCTTTCGCCATCCAACCCAACCCAACACACACACACACACACACACACACACACACACACACACACACACACACACACACACACACACACACACGCAAAGCAGGCCGTACCCGCATTTCCTCCAGCTGCTCCTTGAGTTTGGCCTCGTTCTCACGCGCCTGGTCCACGAGCTTCCACGCCTCGTCCACCTCCTTCTGCAGATGCGCAACCGACATCTCATCATCCCGGTTGTTCTGTGCCCAAGAGAGGGAGTGTGTGTGTGTGTGTGCGTGTGTGTGTGTGTGTGAGTGTGTTGTGGCGTGCGTACGAGTGTGAATAAACACCAGAGCGTTAGCACATGTTCAGATTGCTTCGCTAACACAAAACACACACATTCACATACGCACGCACACATATAGACACACGCACGCACACACAACACACACACATAACACACACGCACAGACAACACGATGCGCCGCCTCTCTTGAGCATCACTGCGAGCCAAGTGTACCTGGAGCGCGGACTGCACTTTGGCTGCGTTGGAGACGAGCTCTGCGTTCAGTTCGCGGCACTTGGACTCCAGCCGCCGCTCGTTGTCGTGCGCCTTTTCCAGAGCTAAAGAGGGGGGTTTGATGAATGCAAGGCCACGGAGAAGCACGGTGAGACAAGGGTGCGTGGTACATGGGGCAAAAAGAGTGCTTAGGGTTCTCGCTCCTCCATGGCACCACGCTTCGTGCTACCAACGACGACGAGAAGCACGCATGCAAGCCAGCCACAGCGGGCAGTGACGCACCTTCCAGGAGGTTTTCGTATTCTTCACGGAACGGGGAGAACGCGGGGTCGTCGGAGAACCGGTCGAGTGCTTCCGCAAAATCCTGCAGCTCATCCTCCATCGCGCCGTCCTCAGACTGCCAGCATGGTCATTGATTCGTTGGTGAGTTTCTGTGAGCTGAGGACGGTTCCAGCATCGCCATCATCGCCAACACAAACACTGTGCATGACACACAAACCTCACACACACACACACAACACACACATTCTCTCGCGCTCTCTGTCCCTCCTCTGTCCCTTCTGCCTCTCTCCATCGCTCTCATCTCATACTCCATCGTACCATGGCTGGTGTGTGTGTTTGTTGGAGGTGAGGGAGGAGAGATCAAGTCAAGTCAAGCAAAGCGGCGCTGTGGTGTGTGGGGCTGGCTGGATGTGTCGCTCTGCTTGCTGTGTTTTGTGGCTGGTTGCTACCGCCGAAAATTATGCAAATTCTTTTATCATTCATCCACGAGCACGAAACCTAAATGCCACAGCATGAAAAGTAGTCAAGCAAGAGTGCAGCGGCACACACACACGCGCGCGCACACACACACACACACACACACCCCACACACACGCACACACGCACACACACACACACACACACACACACACACACACACACACACACCAGCCCACACACACACACACACACACACACACACACACACACACACACACACACACACATACACACACACACTACACGTTGGTTGATGATGATGGCGCCTCGAGCCTCTTCTTCAAAGCAGTAAATGTGGGCCGCTGGGTCGGCGACTGCGCCATGCAATCTGTCGTCAGCTCCCGATACCAGGCGGCAACAGACGCGTCCTTCTCATCTGCACACAGTGAACGAGCACAGGCACGCGTGAGAAGGAACGAAGACGCTTTTCGTGCCCAACAGCTGCACACACACACACATAGACACGAATAGAGGAAAACATAGAAGGAAGTATTCGCGACAACAACAACAGCAACAACAACTTAAACAACAACTTAAACAACAACAAACAACAACAACTTAAACAACAACAACTAACACACCATCGAAGCGCAGGCGTTTGCCGTCCCGCATCAAGGTGCTGAGCATAGCCAGCATGGGCCCCTGGTAGTTGTTGCCCTTCTCCTGCGCAATCAGGTCTGGTACACGCTGTGTCGCCACCTCCCACATCAGCACGCCAAAGCTGAACACGTCTGCCTTGGCGTCATATCTGCTGCCTGTCAGCGCCTCTGGTGCCATGTACAGCGGCGTGCCCACACCGGCTGTCATCGTCAGGTGTATTGTCTCGCCACCCATCTGCTGCGAGTACGGCAGGTCCTCTTGGACGTCATCACCATCATCACCACAACCACAATCATCATCATCATCACCACCACCACTGCTGCTGTTGGTGTTGGTGTTGCTGTCGCTTCTATCTTGGTGCATCGATCGCCTATTCAAGGAGAGGAGGGAGCGATGATGTATTGGCGTTCGTGTGGTCACCGTCGTGGTCGTGGTGTGTCCGTGGCCAACCAGGCACTGGCGAATGGACCCAAAGTCCGTAATCTTGGCGCGAAGCGAGGCAGACACCAGCACATTTCCGCTCTTCAAATCCCTGTGTGATTGTATTGTGTGTGTGTGAACATGCGTGCATGTGCTGACGATGATTAAGACATGTCCACACACGCATCTGAGCAGTTGAAGTGAAGCAATCAACAAAACACACATACACAACACACACATACACACGCATACACACACACACACACACACACACACACACACACAAAGCCAGACCCCGACCTGTGCACGTGGCCAAGGCTGTGGATGAACGCCATCCCGCTGACAACATCACGCAGCAGCCGCAGCTTCAGCTGCCATGGTGACGTCACATGCATTACAGACTGCACCCGTGATCGCGTTCGCCTCTGGTCGTGCTGGTGTTGCTGTTGGTCAGCAGTTGATGAGGGTAGCACGCCTGGGGCGGCGAGCAGGGACTCCACCAGTCCCCCAACACCAGATGAAGATGGTGGTGAACGCGTTGACGCGTGTACGCCACCATCAACACAACCACCACCACCACGACCACCACCAATGCTACTGTCAATGCCACCACTCGCAGCATACTCACCGTCCCCTTCATCGTCTTCATCTGCGTGCAGCTGCAGCTGCTTCGTCTTGACCTCCTTCAGCATCGTGTCCCAGTCACGCTGTAGCAGCTCGCGCAGCGACCCCATCGCCACAAACTCCAGCACCAGGAACGGGCTGCCGTTGGGGTCTGTGCCCGCACCAAAGAACCGCACCACGTGCGGGTGCCGTGTCCGCTGCAGAAACTCCACCTCCTTCTCAAACTCAGCGCCCATGGACATGTCATCCAGGCTCATGTGTGTCTGCTGCAGCACTTTCACCGCCACTGCCAGCGTGTCCCACTTGGCCTTGAATACAACACCAAAGGCACCCGCAGCTACACGCTTGATCATCCTCAGCTCATCGTATCCAATCTCCCACGCCTTCTTCAGTGCCATCACCTCCTCGTCTCGCTCCGACAGCAGCTGCTTGTGCAAGCTGTCACTCGCACGCGTGCTTCTATAACGGCGGTACAGCCAGAACAGAAGCGGAGCAAGCAGCACCAGCCCAGCCACTACGGAGCCAACGATGATGGGCGCAAGCTGCACGACCACCTTCTGGCAGTGGCCGCTGCTGTCGATGCGGTGCCCGCTGGAGCACTTGCAGTCGAAGAAGTAGACAACCTCAGTGGACAGGCCGTCCAGGTTTTGGGCATGACGCAACACCTCGCTGCGCAGCCGCAGGTTGCATTCGATGGGCACCTGCTCCAATTGCAGAATGGGTGGCGAGGTGCGTGACGTGAGGGTGATGCTGAAGTCTGTGGACTTGAACTGGAGCTGCGCCAGCACCGTGATCTGCTCCGTGATGGGTGTGATGAGGTCGAGTTGGTTCAGCCACTCGTTCTGCGACAGGTCCACCACTTGCACAAACGTGAGGCAGCGGCGCAGCAGCCGGCGCGCTGTCGTTGGCGACCGGAAGCCATCATCGATCATGGACCGGGCAAACAACATCGTTGCGCCCCACGATGAGCACATGGCGCGTGTTGGCGCCAGTTTGGTGCTGGACACGTCAATCACCTCAACAAAGGGGGCCTGCAGCGTGTGCAGGTGCTCACTGAACGACACATTGAGCTGCACAAGGTTGTCGTCTTCAATGTGCACGGTCTGCAGCTGCGTGTTGTGCTGCAGGAAGATGGAGTCAAAGTTGCCCTGGCACATGTGGATGGCGGTGTAAGACGTGTGCGTGATGCTCAGCTCCCGCACGTGTGGGTCCAGCATGTTGCACACCACCTCCAGCGGCACCGTGTCCTCGTTCATGCCTGGCCATCCAAGGTACAGGTTGTCCAGTGACACGTTCACGGGGAAGGCAGCCATCTGTTGCTGTTGCTGTTGCTGTTGCTGTTGCTGTTGTTGACTGATACCGTTGGTGCCGTCGTTGCTGCTGCTGTCGTTGCTGCTGCTGCTGCTGCTGCTGTCGTTGCTGTTGTTGTTGTTCGTGTTACTCTGATCACCACTGCTGTCATCACCGCCACCACTGTTGTCGCCACTGCCACCAACACCGCCACCAGCGTGGAACACCTGCGAGAGATCGAGGTGCCGCGCTTCGAACGTGGTCAGCCGACGCGTCCTCTGCGTGTCCAGTTTGGACACATCCACACTCGCAACCGCGCGCAGGTGCTCGGCAGTCGACACGCGAAGGATGGTCAGGTTGGCAAGCTGCAGCAGCGGCGTAAAGTCAATCTGCGTGATGTGGTTGTTCTGCACGCGGATGGTTTCCAGGTGCGGGCTGGCTGAAACGTCCGGCATTTGCTGCAGCGGGTTGTTGCTCATGTCCAGGTCCTCCAAGGCGGGGAGGACCGCGGTGAGTTGCGTAATCCTGTTGCTGCGGACGAAGAGGGACTTGAGGGCCACCAGGCCGTCAAGTATGGCGTCGACGGTCTTGAGCGCGTTGCCGCCGATGTACACGTGCTCAAGGGAGCGCTTGTTGGCCTGGAAGAGGGTGGGGGGCAGGCTCTTGAAGCGATTGCGCTGCAGATTGGCCACCCAGATGTCAGGGTTGTGTTCGAACAGGTTCGGGTGGAGGGAGGTCAGCTGGTTGTCGTGCAGCAGCACCTCGCGCAAGAGCGGTAGGCGATCGAAGATGTGGGTGGGGAGGGACTTGAGCACGTTGCTTGCCAGCCGCATGCTGACCATGGCTGGCAGGTTGTCGAACAGGCCCTTTGGAAGCGCAGACAGCCGGTTGCTGCGCACATCCACGATTTGCAGCCTCGTGTTCTTGTCAAAGATGTGCTCAGGCAACGACGTCAGCTCCGTGCTCACCACGTTGATCTCGCGCACACTCGTCAGGGCGCAGAACGCGTCCCGGTGCAGACTGCCAAACGGATTGCGCAGGAACGAGATCTCCTCCAGGCTGGACAGGCCGTCCAGCGTGTGCGCCGTCAGCGTGTCAATGTCGTTCTGGTTCAGGTGCAGCTCAAGCAGGTTGGAGAGGCCCTCGAATGCCTTGTCTTCAATGCGCGTAAGCAGGTTTTCCCCAAGCTCGAGGATTTGGAGCGCGGTGAGGGCTGCAAACGCACGGGATTTCACGGTTTCGAGCTGGTTGTGCTGCAGGAAGAGCAGCTGCAGCGAGGTCATGCCATCAAACAGGTTGCTGTGGAGGCTCATGATGAGGTTGTTGGAAGCGTCCAGGCTGGTGAGCAGTGCCGCGAGGGCCGGCCGCAGATTGCCGCGCTGCAGCGTCACAATGCCGTTGCCAGAGACGTCCAGCGTGACCAGCTGCGAGAGCGGGTTAAACAGGTCCAGTGAAAGCGTGGGAGCGGGCAAGCTTTGTACCACTAGGTGCTGCAGCCGGGGCCAGCTGCTTGCATGCAAGATGGTCCTCAGTGCACTCAGGGTGAGACCATTGCCACGCACCACCATCCACTCGACATCCTTGGTGAACTCCGCTGGGAGCGGGTTTTGAGGCTTGAGCTGGGTGCCTGCAGGCACAATGAGGGTGAGGTTGGAGAGCGAGTCGTGATGTTGGCAGGACGGTGGGAGCATGTCCGCAAGCGTGCACTCGACAGCCTCTAGGTGGTTGCGGCGCGCTCGAAACCGGCGCCGGCGCTCCAGCCGCTCCAGTTGCTCCGGGTGCACCATGGGCGGTGGATCGATCAGTTCCGTGTCCTCACCGACGCCTCCGGCACTCTTGAATTGCTTGATGGCGGCCAGCTGCTGGCGGTGTTGCTCCTGTACCTGCACGCGCTTTCGCTCCACCAAGTTGGCAGCAGCAGGGGCGGGGGTGGTGGGCTGGAAGTGTTGTTGGGCGGGTGGTGTGGCCATATCGCTTGCGAGGAATGATTCTTCGTCTGTGAGCGAGCTGCGACAGCCGAAGCGGCGCAAAATGGCTTGAAGAGGCGCCACGTCATCAGGCGATGCGGGAAATGAAGAAGCAGGTTGCATCCCATGTGCAGTGTTGGGCCGCGCAATTATCTCCTCAAAGCGTGCCAACGACGCGTATGCCTGCATGCACAACAGCATATCATCGTCCTGTCGTGCGTGTGTGTGTGTGTGCGTGTGTGTGTGTGTGCGTGTGTGTGTGTGTGCGTGTGTGTGTTTCATGTGTGCGTGTGTGTGTTTCATGTGTGCGTGTGTGCGTGTGTGTTGTGTTGCGTGTGTGTTCGTGCGTTTTGTTGTGTATTCGGGTGTGTGTGTGTGTGTGTGTGTGTGTGGTGTCGTGTGTTGTGAGGGAGAGAGACAGCATGCTTGTGTCATGTGGCAGAGTGCTTGTGCGCGCACAGCTTCTTTGCGCGATGAGAGCAAAGTGTCGAAACGCAAGATGTGCGTGCAACGACACGACACCAAAACGGATTGACGCTCAGAGCAAACAGTCATCTCATGCAGCTGAGCACGACACGACATGGAACCGACAACACACATGCGCGCTGTGGACAGTGCTCACCTGCGCTTGAGCAGTGTTTAGGGCTGCCACTGATGGCGCTGGGGTGCAGCAAGCGAGCATACAGCACAGCAACACCGCCACCCCAGCGATCAGCATCGACGCCGCGCGGCTGGAGGAGGTGCTTGACATGGCTCACTTCTTGCTCGCAACAAGAGTTGGAACGAGGAGTTGTTGTTGGGGGCACGCCCTTTTGGTGTCGGAAAAGCAGTGGGAATGATAAACGATCTTCTGCATGCCTGGCAGTGCCTGTTTGTTTTGCCGGTCTTTCTGTGTGCGTGGCGTTGTGTGCCCTGTTATGCTGCGTTCAGCGGTTCAGTGTTCTTGCTGTTGATGTCTGTTGTCGTATCCATTGTGTGCTGAGTGTTGTGGAACACACGCCACGAAGAGAAGGCCCACCAATAGACGTCACAGAGACAGCAAAGGGAGAGAAAAGAAGAGAGAAAGAAGAGAGGGAGATCGCGAGCCTGCAAGTTGCAAAAGGTGAGTTGTAACGCAAGGAAAGAGTGGTGGTTGGGGCATGTCGTGCTTCGGTTGTTTACTTGCCTGCAGGCAAGAAAGAAGCAGAGGCAGAAGCAGAGATAGAGGCAGAAGAGACAACACAGAAGGCAGAATCACACAAACCAACTCAAATGCACACACACACACAGACAGACGCAGACGCAGACGCGCACACACACACACACACAGACACAGACACACACGCAAAGGCCTGTCTACCCTATCTATGCCCATTCACGACGTTGATAGCTCGCTTGGTCTCCTCGTGCACCGTGTCTACTGTTTCCATTACCGCTGCCATTCGAATAGTAGCCATTCATTGGGGGCGGGGGTGGGTTGAACTTGTCCTGCACGCTCTTGCCGTGCGTGGGCATCCCACCAACAATGTACCCGTGCCCGTACGTGTCACCGCCGGCGCCCTCGTCCTTGCCATCGCCCTGGATGGACGTGTAGCCGTCGTGCAGCTTCTCGGGCTCAAACGCCTTGAACATGACGGTGCCGATGAGGATGACGGGGAGGGAGGCAAGGGCCCAGATCATGTCCACGCGGGAGATGCTTGCGCCGTGGCACCAGCGGTTGGCCTGGGGCACGGCGATCCAGAACACGGACGAGAGCGGGTTGGCCAGCGCGGCGATGAGGGAGGCCATGTTGGCGGAGTCCGTGTCGGCGACAATGGCGGTGAAGACGTAGGACATGATGTAGAAGCCCGCAAACAGGATGCCCATGAGCGCGGCATACTGGCAGCCGCTCTCCGCCCCAAAGAAGCACTTGAAGCCGCCGGCAAGGGAGTGGGCTGCGTCGTGGAAGTTGGATGAGGGCCCAAACCCAGGCAGGAAGTCCGTCCACCAGAGGGCGACCATGGCCAGGACCTGGTACAGGCTCTCCCAGGCCAGGAGGAGGTACTTGTCGTACGAGTCCGTGGACGTGTCGCGGTACTTGTTGAAGATGGCCTCCATGTACACGTTCATCAGGACCGCGGGGACGCAGCTGAACACAAACACGGCCGCCCACCACGTGCCGTTGGGGAACTGCGCGTCGTGCTTGTGCGTGGCCGCGCTGTGCAGGGCGGGCACGAGGGAGACAAAGATGCCTATCATGGTGACGATGGCGCCGACAATCTGCCACAGACGGTACCGCTTCTCCACGTGCCGCACAAAGTAGCTGGCAACAAGGGTGAGCGGGATGGTGGCCTGCAACAAGGGGCCCTGCAGGTCGTTTGGGGTGTTGGCCGTGGCGAAGACAAGCAGGATGCCGTTGGCGGCGTCGCTGATGCCGATGAGCAGCAGGCGCCCCTGGAACCCCCACGTGACGGACTGCCGGTGCATGTGGCGTGGGATCTTGCCCGTGCAGCTGCGGACGCCCACCAGTGTCCAGAAGAAGATGTTGAAGAGGCACGAGCACCAGAACAGGACAAAGTACGGGCCACCCTCCCGCAGCTGTCCGAGGAAGCACGGCAGGGAGAGCAGCTGCCCAAGCGCGCCGATCACCATGCCCACGCATGCCCAGAACAGCGGCGATCGCAACGCAGCACCCACGGACACCATTTTGCTGGAGAGCAGGGACGGGTGGGTAGGAGGAGGAGAGGGACGGATGAGGGGAGGGGGGGGGGGAAGGTCTGAGGAGGAGAAGAAGAGAAGAGGATGTGGGAAGGGAGAGAAAAGGAAAACAGGTGCGGTGGGATCAGCGAGTGGGGCTCTGATGCCTTGGAATCGTTATGTTCAAGGGAGAAAGGATCAAGAAAATGAACGAAGCAAAGAGCAAAGGCGTGGTTCACTGGAAATTGAGACAGAGAGAGAGAGAGTGATTGTGTGTGTGTGTGGGAGTGTTGGGGAAGGGGGGTACAACACGCACGTTCAGTGATCGTGTGCGTGTGCTGCCTTGCTTGTTGGTGACAGGCTTGTGTCTGGTCGCGGAGGCGTAACAGCAGCAAACAAAATGCTGGTGCTGTGGGTGGTTGGAGTGGTGGTCATCGTGATTGCTGAAATTTATTGGAAGATTTTCGCGGATCCTCTACACCATCGTCAATACACGTGGGTTGACGCTTGCAAAGCAAGAAGCACAAAAAGGGGAGCGCGAGCAAGCGTGCGTGCCAGCAAAGGATGCGCATGGCAGAACGAGAAAGAAAGGAAAACAGGCGCAAGGCGGGAGGGAGGGGGGCGATTACACCGAAGAGGTGGTATAAAGGAAGAACATCAAATGGTCTTAGAACAGCTAGTTGCCTGCAGGCAAAAGGAAAAAACAAAAGTGACAAAGCACACAGCATGGGCCGACCGACCGACAGACGCCGACGCAGACACAGACACGCACACAGACACACACACACACAGACACGCAGACAGACAGACAGACACACACACAGACACAGATACACAGACACAGACAGACACACAGACACACGCAGACACACAGACACACAGACAGACACACACACACATGGTTTGTTCAGTTAGTCAAGGGCAACGCCCCTGGTTTCGCGGGGAAGGCCAAAAGATGCCATGCCAGCGATAATGCTGGTGGCGCCATAGAGGGCAAGGCGGCCATACAGCGGCACAGCAGAGGCATCGCCCCAATATGGGGTGGCAAACGCCGCAAGCCGCGCCATGCCATTGCACCACCCATGTCCAGCAGCACGCACGCTCGTCGAGTACAGCTCCGGCGTCACCACCCACACCACGCAAGAGCCAATGAAGATGGCCATGCGTGCAAGCACAACAAGCATGATGCCCACGCCGCGCGGAACGCTGATAATCGTCAGCACCATGAGCACGCCGCTGATGATGAACGTCACGCCGGCCAACGGCTTCCTGTTGATGTGGTCAATCAGCAGCACGCCCACAATCGCGCCCAGCAGCTCGGCAGCGCCAGCCGTGAACAGGGCAGGGTAGTCAAAGTGACCCGTGCTGTGGTGGTGGTGATGGTGATGTGTTTGATTGCCGTCAAGGGAGAACACAGGGGCTTGCTGGAGAAACAGCGTGTCGTTGTGGATGGACGATCCGTTTGTGCTGTTGTGTTTGTGGTCCCATCCAGAGAAGTATTCGGGCGTAATGATCACGGCGCCTGTTGTGCAGTGGATGTTTGGCCGGGGGGGGGCAAGAGGAGAGCAAGTATGAGAAGAGGGAAGGGAGCAAGGGAGTCGTGTGTTGGGGGCAGCAAAAGGCGGCTACAGCAGTGTTTTTGCTGAACGCCCCACGCGTACATTACGCAAACACCACGCGCCCGCCAAAACAGGCTTCTTCACAGCCACGCACACACACACCTACACCTACACACACCCACACACCCCTACACACACGCACACACCCCTACACACACGCACACACACCGTAATATGCAAAGCCGAATGTGCTCCAGATGGTCCAGAGCATGACAGTTGCGCGCCAGTTGGCCTTGTTGAATAGCCGCAGCGGTGACATGGACCCGCCGCTGTCATCAGCAACATCATCATCATCACTGGCGACTGCACTGCCACTGCCCCCACCGTTGTGCACGCTGTTGACGCTGACAGCCGTGTTGTTGTGCTTGCTGCTGTTGGCGTGCTTGTGATTGGCAGTGCCGTTGAGCATGGGTGTGAGCTCCCTGTTCTTCTCGCGGTGGTAGCCAGCATCATCGCGGTAGTACTCGTCGTCACCACCATCAACGCCGCCTTCGTGGTGGGACGAGGCAATCACAAACGTCTTGCCGTCGACTGGCGGGTTGTGCATGCGCACGAGTCGCATGTTTGGCGGGAGCGCGTCTTCGCGCTTGTTCAGGCGGGCTGCGTTGCGGACAACACGGAGAGCATCCTCGCTCCTGTTGACAGACAGCAGCCAGTGTGGCGATTCCGGGAGAAAGGGGAAGAACAACATGGCGATGGCAACAGGCGCAGCGCACACGGCCACGAGATAGCGCCAGCCCAGCCGGTCAAGCATGATCCACGCCAAGCCGTTCACAAACAGCGTCCCAAACGTCCTGGTGGTGGTGGGGGGGGGGTTTGGTGGGTGGTGTTCGTGGTGGGCATGAATGTGAGGGAGAGTGAAAAGCGAAGAACATAGAGTTGAAAAGGGTTGATTGGAACAGAGCAACGAGGCAGTGAGGCAGACAAAGCCGAGTTGAGTCGAACATACCAGCATGCAGACACACAGACACACACAGACACACAGACACACACACACACACACACAAAGATACAGACACGTATGTACGGACAGACAGACAGACAGACAGACAGACAAACAGACAGACACAAACAACTCCCCCGCCACCCACACACACGTACCAGAAAAACTCGATGCTGAAGAGGGCCTTGCCGCGAATCTTGGACGGCATAAACTCGGCCAGGAGGTCGTAGGGAACACCCATACCGCCAATGCCAAAGCCAACAAGGAAGCGAAGCGCAACCAGCATGATAAAGTCCACAGAGAACGCACTGCAGGTGTCGAAAGAAGCGGATGTGGGTTGAGCATGCATATGAACGTGTGGTAGGCGAGCAGAGTCGGTGATGGAAGCCATGGATGAATGCATGGCTCAAAAACGCCAAATGTGCACGTGTGTACGCTGACAGAGAGACAGAAGCACACGCAGTCACACGCGCACACACATGCACACACACAGACAAATATACAGCCACACGAGGACACAGCACACACACACACACACACACACACACACACACACACACACACACACACACGTACACGTGCGCCAACTGCACCTTGCCAAGCCCGCGCCAGTGACCATGAGTGCCGGAAGAAACGCGGCACGACGTCGCCCAAAGCGATCTGCCATTGGACCCCAGAAGATGGAGCCAAACAGCTCCCCGCCAAACACAACCGCAGACAGCGTGGACTCCTCCACATCTGTCAGGTCAAACGCATGCTTGGCCTCCACTTGAAGGAAGGTCAACAGACCAATCTCTGTGGACGTGTGTGTGTACATGTGTGTGTGTACATGCGCGGGTTTTGTTTGTGAATGAGTGAGTAGTATGTGTGTGCGTGTGTGGATGAGTAGTGTATGTGCGCGTGCACGCAACCAACAAACAGGAACATGCAAGGCTTGCATGCACGCAAGGATCCTTTCACCTCCATGCTTCAAATCACACACTCAACACGCTTAGACACACACACACACACACACATACACACCGATGCTGTCTGTGCAGAAGCAGAGCCCGCAGATGAGGAGCACGCGGATTTGCTGCCAGCCATAGCCAATCCTGTTGATGGCCTCTGGCACCGTCAACTCCACCTATAAGCGAAAAGAAAGGTTGGAAGCAAGAGAAGGTGATTGAGAAGCGAGAAAGGGTGATATAATAGCGAGAGAAGGGGTGAGGGGGTCATGATGCATGCAATCACCACTCGAACACACACAGACAGACACAGACACAGACACAGACACAGACACACACAGACACAGACACAGACACAGACACACACGGCCATTGCACTCACATAAGGGGAAACATCGTCGTAGAACCGCTTCTCTGTATCGTTGCCCGTCTCTACTTCATCATCCGTGAGGAGAGGCTTCTTCTCACTCCAATCGTCTCCCCCGTCCATCATCATCTAATCTGTGCTCACACTCGCGTCAAACTTCTGATGGTGTGTTGTGGTGTGTTTTTGTTTGTGGTTTGGAGGTTTGGTGGCGCTTGTGATTGTGAGTGCGGAAGATCAGCAATATTTTCAAACTATTTTCTGCAGTGTGCTTCGTCCAAGCTCCTCCCGGCCAGCGCCATTTCTTGGTGTCGTGAACCGCAGCCATGGCGCAACGCGAAAACGCAA